CTCGTTTTTCCCGTTTTCCCCCTTAATTTTTTTTCAAGCGGTTTCCTGAAATGCGACTCTGCAATATTCAAACGTCCAAAATTTCCTTCAAAATTTGTATAGTGAGAAGCGATAAAAGTAAGTAATGAAAAGTGGCTTCCAAATATTGCAATAATATCTGAACGGCCTCTTCTGCCAGAATTTTTGGGGTGGTACCTAGAAGACAAACCAGCTTTGGCTTTCTTTCACTTAGATTTGTTTCTGAAAGCATCAAGATTTTCTTGAGGAAGTTTGTCTGCTCACGGCCGCTGACAGATAAAGCGTTTTGAAGTGAAAACTCCTGCTCGGGGTACGTCGTGCACCTGTCTGTGGTTAGCAGTCGCACTAGCATTGGAAGTCATCCACTCCCAATGAGGGCGATAACAGTATCACGCATTGTAGCATATGTATGTTACATAAGATTAGCAGTTGTAGCTGTTCATGGACCTGTCTGCTCATCATTTTAGCCGCGAGTGCCTGTTTATACGACCCTCCTTTCGTTCGTCTATACGATCCCCCTCACTTTTTTATTGGGAACGACGGTTGACCTGTTACCGTCTCCACTGTCTCAAAGTTAAGCGGTCTTACACGAATTGGAGTTACTGCAGAATTGAAGTTCAGGAGCCGTACATAATACCTTTTGCTCAGTGGGAAGTGGAGAATTATGTGGGATTTGTTTGTTTGACGCTAGCTTTTTCTAATGTATCTGTTTGAAGAGATAAATGGAATGTAAAGGAATCTCTCACCCTTTCACAGCTGAAGGCGTGCTGCTTATGGCTCTAGTGATGCACTTTCGTGAATCACGTAAGACTCATGTGGCTGTTCTGTTCTGGTTCAGCACTGTCATCGAAATAAGTTCAGGTATAGCGTAGTTTGAGGATTTCATCAAGCCTGCACTTTTTTACAGGTGAGAAAGCTTTTTTGAGGAGGGAGGAACACCCTTTGTTTTTGCTTCGATTTGTAAAAATCTAGAGCAGATGATCTTTGGAGTATGTTCTGCAAACGCATCTACAAAATCGCGCCCCAAACGAACTCTACCCAAATTTGGTCGATAGTTCCGAAATACCAAAACAAGGTGTTTACAATCTTCGTTATTGATTTCCGATTTCCTCGACGGGTTGGCCGTTTTTGAAGTTTGCAGCATCCATTTTTCTGGTAGGGAGAGGGAACGGTGGCTTGATGAAATCACTAAACTGGGAGAGGGAACAGTGCTTCAATTTGTAGAGATCCATAGTAGATGATCTTTGGAGCATGTATTGCAACAAATCTTCATAATCGATACCAAACGAATTCTCATCCTAAATTGCAATGAAGGTGTTTTAAATCATCATTTCCGATTTCCGATTTCCGCAACAGGTCAGCCGTTTTTGAAGTCTGTGGCATCCTTTTTTCTCCATCGTGATCGTTGCAAGTTTAAACTTGACGCGCAATCGCCTAAAATTTGTCTGGTAATTGAATAATTTTTAGCACTAAAAATAAACAATTATAAGCTGTAGTAGTAGCAATCGTAATAGTCAAACAACTAGCTCTCTTCGATACTTCCCAGACTTCACAACTAACTGCTGGCAACTTCGCGTCATCGGAACTGGTTTCCCTCTGTGTCGCGCCTCGCGACCAGCCAGCGATCAGATGTTTGCAAGCGCCAGTCTGCCTCGGCCAACCCATCGATCGCTGTCCCCGCCTTATCCGGGTTGTTTATTGATCTGCCACGCTTTTGTTTACCGGTAATGGACGCGCTTTACCCTTGTCAATCGGGCATTATTTCGCAAGGTCTATTTCCCTCGATCAACGACCACAGAATATTTGATTTTAGTTTTTTTGAAATAGAATCAATTTTTTGAATCGCGGCCTGCAGCTTTATCTATTTATCCTTTGTTTATTTACACTCGGAAATTGTGCTACGGCGCAGAAAAGCCCTGCTTCATTAGTGCGAAGCACATTTCAAGAAAAGTTGTTGTAAATATGAGGAAAAAGTTCCCATAGCATTCATCTTTCCTCAGTTATAAATGGAAAAAACATGAGAATCAAGAGCCGGGACCAGTATATTTATGCAAAAATCACTAGGGAATTTTGCTCACCTTGATTCTATTCCGCTTGATTTTATAGTGATTTAAGCTTTCTTGTAAAAATGAATTGTGTCTGACTTTTGTTTGCTGTCTAATGAAATGATGAAGTACAGAGCCCTTGAAATCCACTAGTAGCAGTGCAGGATGCGCCACGCATTCTACTTTCATTTACATCCCGAGAGGTGACTTGAATGCGATTCATTCCTATACAATGAATTGTGGTGGCCAGTATATGCATAAGTTAGTATTTTTATAAATTCAGAAAAGCCTTATACCTGCTAAGAATAGGAGGACCATTTGGCGTCAGCACGGCACGACCGGGATTCGTTCCCCGCACCACACACGTGATGTGCGGCAGCACTACCTCTGCACCTCTTCCGCTGTGCTGCTTTCCGATTTCCCTGCTTGTTGTCCAGTATAGTAAATATAGTATAATTTCGCTGTATTCCTCAACTAAAATGTGTTTTTCGTATGGGACGTAAATTGTGTATAGAACTTCTGCAAAGAAAAAGGAAAAAATGAACAAGAAATCCCGAAATTGAATGATAAATTGTACCTACATTTCAAGTTTTCGACCTGTGAAGAGCATATACCTTGAGTATACTTCTATGAAGCGAATCCTAATAGGTATTTTGCTCATCGCAATTGCTTCCACTAGCCACAGTGGTACCAGAACTACCAAAAGTTGCTCGCCATAGGCCTTAGGCGACTCTGATATTGTAGAAGGTTTTGGTATGCTTTGCATGACACTCTTTTTTATTTCTTAAATTAAAAACAAGTGAAACGACGATTCAGATTTAATGTGGTGCACATCGCTAACCAGGGTCTCATGGAAGCGCCGACTATTTCACATGTATACATGTATTACTATATTAGTAAAAGTGTTAAATGTATTCGTCACTGGATAAGACTTAAAGGCATGTCCCAGGATCACACTGGTGTGGCTCTGCACACAATATTGGTGCGAAATGGGTTGGCAGCTAAGTAAAGAAGTAGGAAAAAGAATTTGTTGAAAACGGTTAAGGGTGAAGGCTCACTCACCTTTCTGATCGGCTGTGCTAAGGGAATGAGAGATTAAGCGCGGAGAGGAGAGTATGAGGCGAGAGAGCACTACAGATGAGAGAGCGTCAGACAACAGCCTGATAAGAAAAAAATGGCGACTTTTGCTTACTTTGCAAGGCCTCAACCGCTCTTGTCGGTTGGTTTCCGTGCACGGAGAACGCCACATTTGTGATTGTCCTCTAGGAGGGGTACTATACTACAGACCGAAGGAAGCGTTCACACGACCTCTGCCTGGGTCCTTTACTCAACGGAGCAGGGAGAAGCATTTCTTTCGGTGCAGCTTAGTTATGGAACCTTTTCTACTTTCATCCAACGTTTCGTCGTACTTAGAGCGAGCATTATTCTTCTGTTATCATATCGCGTGCCGTGCGTGTCTATCTGCGCTCTTTCCAAGACCCATTTCGGCCACTTCACCCCGTAAGATCCGCTTTTCAAAAGCATTTCTATACTGAAACTTGTTCTCAAAAGTTGTTATTTCGGCGCCCGCAAACAACCGCTCTTGTTTGAGGTTGTCGTGGGTAGAGCAATCGACTTTTTTTAAATCAATGTTCACCTCGTTAGGCATGTAATCTGGGAAAATTATTCATTTTCGCCCGTAGGCTCTGGGTTTCTGTTACGTTGTCATGGTTAGTTGTTATGGCTGTTACCTATATATGAGCAAAGGGATATGTCATAGCGTTGGGAGTCAAAAAAATGCTAGCACTGACGACTCTAACAGAGGTTTCACAATCACATAAATGTAAAAAGGAATATAAGAATAAAAACAACAAGGGTATACGCAAAGTTACGGCGAAAATCATATTTTTTTTTTGATTTTGGGATTGCAAAAATTGATATAAGGGCCAATACAATAAAGAACAGAAATAGAAAAGACTTGGGAAAAAGAATCCCGGGAAGCAATCAGTTGACGAAAACAGTGATTGTTGGAAGAAGTCAGCATTTTGCTGTATGCAGAAGTCGCGTTCGGAAATTTTCGTCCGGCCACACCTATTGTACGTGAGGCGGGATGCTAATGGAGAGGTCCTGTTAAAAAACTGCATCGAGTTTCTTTTCACTACTGCCTTTCACTTTTCACTTTCATACTACTTCTGTCGTTTCTATTCTTGCACTTTGACATTCATTACCGATCGCTTATCCAACAGATTCAGGCCTGGGGCGTGACTTTGAAACGCTGAACCAATCCTTCCCCGAGTAAGGTTGCTGAGCGACAACTGCAGAGCTAGGGCCGTGTTGCGCTCAAAATGCCTGTCGAGACTGCTAGGGGGTCAGGGCCTACAGCCATGAAGCTCGAAAATAGGCCGACTGCTTCGGGGTATGCTGTATCGCTACCCCGCCATGATCTCTCAACTCTGTATTTTGTTCCCTCGTTTAGGCCCTACATTGTGTCTACAGTGTTAGATGTTTGGTGCCAGAGTTTCCTTTCTTTGGGAAAATGGGACTTATTTGGCGCGATTTCAGTTTTTCTTTTCGTTTTTCTTATGCTGACAATCGCCAGCAGTCAGTGTTAAATGCTTGAGTGCCACTAAGCCTGCCTTTTTTACTGTGGAATGTGCCTTTAAGTCGCTGAAAGATGCAGAAAACGTTGTATAACATGCGGGAGAGACGGAATTATTGGCAGAAATTATTTGATTTTTGTGTATTAACGAGAGGCTCTATAAGAGTTAACCTCGACTGTTGTTTTTTGTTTGTTTTTCCTTCTGAATCCTGTGGTTTTTTCGAACATAGTCTTTATGCGTTTCTCTTCACTACCAAATTGCTATTTGCTTTTTATTATTATTCCACTCTAAATTTAGCAGCTAGGTGGTATTTTGCACAGCCACATCGTTGGATCACTCTGTATGGACAACTAGTCGTATGATGAGCTCTGAAAATCGCGATGGGCCACGCTATCGCTATCATTTTGACGACGGAGTTCCAGTGAGAGGTTCGTCATATTGCGGCACCTAAAAAAGTAGATTTTTCTCATAAAATTTCGGACCCACCGAAATGGGTTTAGAACATCCAAGATAAGCCTTTGAGGGTTGGGTATATTCGATTTTCGGTTGCGCAATTTTTTCGAGTAGAGCACGCACAATTTGCAAGGAATCGTTGAAAAGTAGGCGCGTGTGGCTCCGACCATGAGGGGCCAGTTGCCCCCGCGGCTTGCGGCATGTTCACGCGCCGCAAGGGCAACTGACCCTTCCCGATCCAAGAAATGGAACTTCGTGTGGTCCGCAATTTCCCATTCAAAGTCAAACTAAAACAGCACTACTTTTGGAAATCTCCCAATTCCTTTTTTAAAAGGTGCTTTCCACGCATTGCATTGGAAGATTCTGTTTTATTTTTGCTTTGTTTATCGATTGTTTAGGTCTTTTTCACACTATTCATTAATTTTGTTGGCATATAACAGTGCGCCTCCTCTTAATGATTGTAGAGATAAACTGAGGTGTTGTAGGGACCCTCTGACAGATTCCAGCCTTTCGGCCTATGAGAGGCGTCCTATAAATGCCAACAGTGGCCGCTTAGGGTCAACTATATATTCGCTGAAAAATTATCAAGAGGAGTGATCGTATTTGTCACATTTTTATCTGAGCGTGGAAGTGGAAGTTGTGGGGTTCGCGTTTTTTCTCTGGGATTTGGAGAACTTCATGCTCGCTTAACGAAAACTGCCCGAAATTTGGCGGGTAGGTCTCGAGAATGGAGTAGAGAGCGCTCTTTAAAGGCACATTAATTTCCGATTAGCTGGCAGCTGGAGAAGTTTTTGAGGCTCCGCGAGTTGGGAGGGTGTGCAGTGGCTACGAGGAGGACTGGAGGCATGGTCGCGGGTTTTAAATTTGATTCCAACGTCAAGGTTGGATCCCGCCCTTTTTTACTTGAGGGATGTCAAATATAAATCCACTTAGCATGCGCCTGCCCTTTTCGATAAAGAACTCTTTAGTGGAATGAGCTCTTTTCAGATGAAATCAGAGGTAATCTCGCAGAAGTGTCGCTGAATTCAGAGATCTCGATGAGCATTGACACACGACGACAGTGCTCGTCTTTAATCAGGCAAGTAATTCAGTTTCAAAGATCTAAAGGAGGTGTTTGTTTGGGCCGGCTTGTTTTCTGTAAAGTATATAATATTGATATTTCTTTCGATTTAGCTTACAACTCATGATCAGTAAATTGGGTGCAGTAGACAAAACGCGTTCGCTTCGCGAAGGATTTCTTTTTTGATAGGCTATAGTTTTAGAGTGTTATGTCTATAATTGCCTCCGGGCCAGATAAACTTGCCATTTGGATCGGCCTAATTGTCGCTCCGCCGACGGCCGCGGGTTTGATTCGCCAGGCGCGCCAAGGCACGAGGGCACGCGTGCGTGAGTGCACCGGGCCCCAATGGGCACACCACCAGCCCCCTGTCGCATAACAACGGCCGATAGCAGGTCAAGCGGAGGGTCAGAGAAAATTTTACGAAATAACGACCCCCCCACCTCGCCGGAGGGGGCCGAGTGCATGATAAAACTCTTCAAAAGCCGAAACTTGAAAGCTTGTTTATTCTCCCCCAAAACTGTTCATAAAAAAGCCCTGCTACCCCACCGCCGCCCACAAAAAATTCGTTTCAAGAAGTACAAAAGTGAAAAAGTCAAAGAATAATCATTACTTGATGAGTCCTACCAAACGAGCAAACGAGAAACAGACCAGAAAACGACAAACTAGCCACTAAAAATGGCATACCCAACATCTGTTCTTCATTTATTTCCTCCACAAGACTTACCAAATTCTAGTACTACACAGATTGTGGTTCTCAATTTGCACGTAGCCCTTCAGTTGAAAGAAGCTTTTTAACCGCCTTCGCCAGCTGTGTGTTGACTGGACTTTGGCGTTGACCGTGGAGCAGCTTATTTACTATTGAAATTTGAACAAATATTCAAATGATTATAACTTTCTTCAAATATGACGAATTTTCAATCTGAAAGCAGATTTGGAAGTTTTGTGAAGAGCTTTTTCTAATCAGTATAGAAATTACAAAAAGTTATAAGAAATAACAAATTTAGGCCAATTAACGAGGAAAATTCGAGATGAGCACGAGTTTTTACACTTTCCGAAGCAACAACTTGCTTCATTTTCGTCAAATTCGAAAAGTTAATATGGCAGACAAAACTAGAAGATTTTCTCTACCAAACCGTTGCTAAAGCAGCTCTATACGTCCAGTATTCAAAAAATGGCCACGTTGAGGATTTTGCAAAATTAACGAGGAAAATTTGTGATGAGTGCGAGTTTTTTTACTTCCTAAAGCCATAACTCCGTTCAAACTCATCCAATCCGAAAAGTAAATACGCCATCATAAACTAGAAGATTTGCTCTATCAAACGCTTTACTAGAACTGCTCCAAACGTCCAGTATTAAAAAAACGGCTACGTTGAGGATTTTCGCACGAGTACCGCCGAAAGGTACTTTTTCGCTACATTGGCACTATTTCAACGGCTGTATATCCTTTTAAGGGCGATTATGTACTAAAGTAAGAGCAGATTTGGAATCACTGCTTTTCTCTTTCTAAGAAAAGTGATTGATTAGCGTTTCTCAACTTTAAAGGTTACATGTTTATAAATTTAACCCTGAAGAGTCCGTTAACGCAATGTTGAATGGTGTACACCTCCCTGTAAATGCGCACGGACACTTTCAGAATTCTCTCGATTGTTCCTGAATTGAGGTTGTTTGTCCAAGGAGCCGTAGTTGAAGCGCGCGCAACAACTAGACCCTTTCTCGGATGCGCCGTGTACCTCACATCCCTTCAGATTCGGGGTCTTACTTGAAAGATGAAATATCTCTTGGAAAGCGTGCGAAATTCAGATTCTTTAACTTGTGTGGTGATAAAACACTGAAGTAACTAAGAATTACCGGACGCCTCAGAATCACGAAAATTTTGTGTGGGTGAAATATCATTTTCATTCATCATTGCATAAGTTTTCAAATCTTTTTTTTTTATATCAAATATCATTTTCATTGAAAATCTTTGGGATCTGGCTGATCATCTTGGTTGTCTTCTCTGTCTGATCCTTGAGTCTTGTCTTCGGTCGGTGATGATCCACGGCATCAAATGGTCGAATCTTCTTCACCCGCAGCGCAAAATACGACCCCCCCCCCTGGAGTGTGATGGATTCAATCAACGCACGCTTTGACGCGCGTAGGGTACGGGGCACCAATCCGTACACCTTTCTTAGGAATTGAATGGTGAAGTGATTGGTTTTTATCTCGTGTATGACTTATTTTCATCCTTTAAGAAATTCATATAAATTAATATTAGGGCGAACATACACAATTTTTTCCAAATGAGGTGTATGTTATGACTATAAACCAGACAGATGATTAAACATTTGTCAATAAATGCAATATTTTTGCTACGACCAGGTTATCTTCATCTTGTTACATCATTTAACAAGTCTTCTTCGGTGAAGCTCGTCAAAAATACATGGCGCTGTAGGAAGATACTGCATTTTATTTGGAAAAAGCTGTTTGTAATCAATTGTTTTTATGTATTACATACATATTGGGAATTGTTAATGTGTGATATATTATTATATTAATTTTTTAATGCTCCAAAACAGTGCGAAGCTCCAAACGTTTTTCTACAATGGGCAAAAATATTTTTGTAAAGTTTCTCGTTCTTTTGTTTTTTGTAATGCTCAAGTTAGGGTGAAGTATCTAATCAAAAGAAGCAATGAGGATGGAAACTAAGAAGGCAGGCAGGCAGGCAGGCAGGCAGGCAGGCAGGCAGGCAGGCAGGCAGGCAGGCAGGCAGGCAGGCAGGCAGGCAGGCAGGCAGGCAGGCAGGCAGGCAGGCAGGCAGGCAGGCAGGCAGGCAGGCAGGCAGGCAGGCAGGCAGGCAGGCAGGCAGGCAGGCAGGCAGGCAGGCAGAGGCAGGCAGGCAGGCAGGCAGGCAGGCAGGCAGGCAGGCAGGCAGGCAGGCAGGCAGGCAGGCAGGCAGGCAGGCAGGCAGGCAGGCAGGCAGGCAGGCAGGCAGGCAGGCAGGCAGGCAGGCAGGCAGGCAGGCAGGCAGGCAGGCAGGCAGGCAGGCAGGCAGGCAGGCAGACAGACAGACAGACAGACAGACAGACAGACAGACAGACAGACAGACAGACAGACAGACAGACAGACAGACAGACAGACAGACAGACAGACAGACAGACAGACAGACAGACAGACAGACAGACAGACAGACAGACAGACAGAACGTATAACGAAAAAAGCATACATTGATGCGAGGCAGTAATAGAATAGTTGGTAAACGGCCCTGAAGATGGTTATCTGTTTGGTTACATAAAATTGTGGCGATAGTTAATACTGAACATGAGCCAATTCTGCCGTTCAATGGGGAGAGGGATATTTGCCAGCCGAGAATTTGGCCGAGTTTTGGGCAATACAAAGTGTGGGGCCGGATAACTAGACATAGGTCCGATTATGATATCGTGCAGATGGATCTAGTGTGGGTCGACCGCTAGGTAATTATGAGTTCTGTTCGTCTTTCGAACCGGGCAGAGCTCACGGCTAGGGCAATGGGAGAGCGACATATTCTGAAGTCATCAGAGAATGAAAACGCAGTCAATGTAGATTTCGTAAAACAAAGCCTCTTCAGGACAGGAAGGAATTCATCTTCTGAGCACAGATGGGTTGCGAATTTGTCGCTATGGCACCATGCATAGAGACAGCTTGCTGCCAATTCTTATTTTTTGAAGGTACATTTGCAGATGAACAGGTGTTAATCATTAATGTTGTGACAAGCCAAGCGGGGGTGAGTCGTTATTGATGGAGATCTGTAGCGGAGGCGGCGTAATTTATAGAATTCGCGTGGCGTGAGTTTAGGTGAGTTTAGCGTAGCAATGCGAAGAGATAGAGAAAAGATTTTTGCCATTTCAGTTAATACGAACATAGCGTATAGTACACCCCCCCCCCGCTCGACGGCTGTTTTGGAAGGGAAAGTGGGTGGAGTTAGGTGTGTCGACTGGTCTCAGAATTAAATACTATAGAAACAGCGACCATGATGGCGAGGGTGGTGAAGGGGGGGGGTCGTGAAATTTTTGATTGGAAGGGGGGGGTCGTAAAAAATTTCCGAAAAGTCGCAACGGTAGGACCGACCCTGAGTCGAACCCTATTAATCCCTGCAGTCTCCACGAATTTTTTCGGTTTCATGGCGAATGGTTCCAATGACATCACTGCAATTGTTTTCGTTGACTATAAAATTTAGACTGGATTCGAATCGAGGAACTGTTTATTCTCTATGCTAACTAGGCAGCCACTGTGATTTCGGTGATCGCAGTTTTGTTTGTGATGACTCAACGAGCGCTAAAAATGGGCGTGGTTTCGGACAGGATGACTAATTGTAAGAGTGCCAAAGATTATACTGTCCTCATGAAGTTTATATTTCCAACGCATAGTTTGGTTAACTGTCAGATCACAGCAGCGGAAAGGGTTGGGCTAGCAATGCGACCGTAGCACCCCTCTTCACAGTGGGTGGCCTGGCGCCCTTTCTTTGAAAGATTCTATGTTTGCCCCTTTAAACTTCGCCCAGCGATTACTTGTTCAACTTCTTATAACACTGTTGTGGTAAAACGCGATTTGGGTGGCGGCATGGTGCCTTTAGGCGTACCCACACGACTCTCGAGATCGCTTTCCGGGTGCAGGTAGCAGATCAAAGTTGTCTACCCTTAGTGTCTAATGCAGGGCTTGCCTTGATGATGAAAGCGCTAAGGTGTAGCCCACAAGTCGGGTGTCTAACGAGCAGTCGAAGCTTTTTACAATTTTAGGCATAAGTCGAATATGTGGCTCACTCCTTAACGCCATCCACTCGTTTCTTTGGATTACTTTCACACACCTTTCTTTTATTACGAGATTCCTAGTATTTTAGAAGAATATTGACTTTCCAGCTTCTCGAGTTTCCGAACTTTCCAACATTTCGAGTTGACGTTCTCAAAATTCGCGCAAAATGGAGTTAGCATGAATAATTAGTACCATATTCATGATTAGGACCGTCAGTAACCCTTACAAATAGACTTTGATTGAAAAACTGGTGAAAAAGGTGTGACTAGGGACCCCCTTTTCTGGTATTCAGAGGGCCGTTCAGGAAAAATTAACCATGGTTCTGTGGTTCCCATATGTGCCTCTATATCATGCAAAAGACCGTTTTGAAAAAGCTTGGCACACCCTGAAAGACCTTCCTTGTAAGGAATGGCCAACAAGGAAACGATGACCAGGTTATGGATAAGGGAATGATGATTTGCTGATTTCCGCCCCGTCCAGTTTTGCTTACAAAACGGCAAAGTCTTATCTTCTTCTTCGGAATAAAGTTTGAATTCCAAACAATCACACCATCTGGGCGCCGATAAGCGTTGACCTGCAGGATGGTGCAGTAGCCGAATGCTGCTTATGGCAACCGATTGTGATAACAGATAAGCCATTATTTGGAGCAACTTAGAGGCATTAGTTGACTTTCATGCCCACTGTGAATAGAATAGTCTTTTGACAGTTGTTTCTTCAATTTCTAGTGGCTTTCTCTTCACAATCGTTCTTCACCGTATGAATTCGAGCTGGGGAGGCGGTCGCTTCAGCTTTCCTCAAAATTGTAAAATGTCACCATATGAATGGGTTAGACTTCGTTTTTCTGGCAAATTGGCCTCTCGTTGCTCTCTTTATCAAATTGAGTCCTACAGATCTGAGTTCTTGTACAAGAATGTCACTTGTACAAAAAGTTTTCTGACCAAAGTTATAAAAGAGATGGTGAGAAATGGGCATGTTTGTGATTTTGGCGAGGAATCCTTTGGCCCAGAAGAGTCATCTCTTGATCCAGCGATCATCGCTGAGTCTAGCCACACCGGTCCTTAGATCGATCACGTGGCTTGACTCACCGATGATCGCTGGATCAGGAGAGTGACTGACTGGTACCCAAGGAAAAAAAACAAAAAAAAAAAAAGGAAACAACAACAAACAAAGCCCAGGATCCAGAGAACCCAGTCGATAGACTGAATCTCTCCTAAAGTAATACGGCCAACTGCGGCGCAGAAGAGCCCGAAGCGGAGCGGCTTGGAAGATGTGCGACCTGCGTTTTTGGCCTTCCCTCGACGAAAAGCGGTCGAGAAGGCCTCCGAAAAAGAAAGCTACGAGACCGGAGGATCCTGGCTATCGTTTTTGGGAAATCAAACGAGTATGAGGACACAGAAATCACAATTATCCGACCAATACTCAAGGTGCTCTCCAATCCCTTGCCCGGGCATTTCTGATTGACGATTATGGCTGAATGAAGACTGTTCATGATTCTACTTGTTTCATATTCAGTGTTTCAAATGTTTCAAATGGGGCACTTGCAATTTTTTACGACCCGCGCGAATCGCGCGAAACCTGCGACGGATCGCGGGATCTCTGACACCGCCGTGCAATGGAGTGCTGTGGCACGCGACAAGGGAGAATGGTTGGGGCTCCTGCTGGAGAAATTCCGAAGCAAAGCTAGAGCAACGGAACCAGCAGGCAGACGGTTAACAATGCGCTAGCACACATAGCTCTATCCATCGAGTGTGCGCTGATCTGTCGCTACGCGGAGGGTGCTAAATTGAACGAAAGCAACTCTATTAGACGGAAAGGTTTTGTATAAAACCTCAGTTACTGTTAAAAATGCGCAGAAGCAACTCTTTTACTTCGCTACTCAGCACTACTTAAAAATGACATGTAGACAAATTCTCGATCACATCATGCTTAGAAGGTTCCTAAATAAGTTCCTAAATAACACAAAGTTTACTGGTACTTAAAATAACAAAGCTGCAATCATAAAAAAGCTACGAATATCGTCCACATTCTGTTATTTCGTATCCTATTCATTCGGTAAACAGTTCCGTTCGTGTTGTTCAATCTGTGGTCTTTTGAGCACTGCCAATTATTTGTACAGTTTGTGCGACTGACTCTGCCTTCGAATGGCGGTGAGTACCAATATTTCGACATTTTCATTGTGGTGAAAGTTCTCACTAATGACTAGCTTTTTTTTCGAATTCCATTTGATAAAAAAGTGGTTCAAAATTACAAAAGCCATTCAAAACAAATGCCGGTCCCAGTCGATATTTCTTCAAACTTTTTATTTTTCAAACCTTATTTTCTTCTTTTTCCAAACCTTATAAAATAAGAAACCAAGTCAGCTGGGTCGGCTAAACAGTAAGTATATTATGTCTATTTATGTCACCTGGCAAGCAAATTCCCCGATTTGCTGGTATTCTTCCCTATCCCTTTACCTAAACCATTTTGAGTTCCCCATCATGGAAATCGGGCTTTCCGGCTGAACTGTTTGCTATGCTTTCCCCATCAGGGTCAATCTTCATATTGGAACAACTTCTTAATCAGTGTACCTTCCAAGAAGGGGCCTGTCCGATCCCCCTAGGGAGTCATTAGTGTCTTCGAAGAACTTGCTACTACTTGACATACTCAAACTTCTACCCAAACCCTATTTCGGAAGAGCTAAGGGAAATGAGATGCTGCATACATTATACGAACTTCTCAAGCAATGAGTTCTACATACCTCACATCTTGAGACCACTTACCCTCCGCCCTCACTAGCCCTGATTTGTCCTTCAATCCTCCTCCTTTACCTAACAGTAATAGATAGCCGACCCTGGTCACTCGCCCTGGTATGAGGGCTGGATTGAGCACCACCTGGAGGAGTCGCTTTGCATTGCACAAGCACATTCCATAAAGTTTTCGCTTTGCATCAAAAAAGTATGGGCGCTATCTCCCTTTAACCAACTTGATCTTATCAGAATCCAGATAATTTATCAATTGGTTCTCCTTTGAGAAATATCAGCAAAATCACTGGAAATTTAATTTTTTTCAGTGATTATTTATCAGTTATTTTTGTTCATACAAATCTTTTTAATTCTCTGTGCGGAAGAAGATACGCATGCAACGACCTCTGTTTTCAGCAGCATCGACAAAGCATTCTCGAGAACCTCCTGAATCGCCAACACGACGGCGACGACGTCCCTCGAACGAACAAATGGCGGTAGGTGACTTACCGTACCAGGGAAGGCTCTCTCGATATGCATTCCCCAGGAAGAGAACCCAGACCTACGGGATGGAGAGCGAGAGCTTTACTGCTATTACGCCCTTTAGGTCTCTTTACTGCTTTCCGGCTACTCTGAACGAGCGGACTCACGGCTCATACGTAAAACCCCTTTACTACCAGCCGTCTTTGACTGCTCACAAGTTTCTTGTCAGGGTCATTTGCAGTTTTAGTTTCCAACTTTGATATCTACGTTTGAAGCTTCATCGATGTATTTGTCTTTCAAAGTTCCATGGGAAGTTGAATGAACTCTCTGGTTAGTGTCTTCCAAAGCATTTAACTTCAAGGCTAAGTATAGCGATACAAAATTTAAAGGGGCGGAAGTGGTGTAGTGACAAGTGGCGCGCTCACCACGCGAGCGGTCCGGGGATCAAATCCTGGGTCGTGAGTCGCCCGGGCCAACCAAGCCTTCCATCCCTCCGGGGTCGGTTAATTGGTACCAGACTTGTCTGGGAGGATAAAAACACTGACTTGTACATCGGCTGGCCCCGCAAGTCATTGTATAGGCCACATCGCATTCAAACGCCACTACGAATGTACAAATGGAAGTAGAATGCGTGCCGCATCCCAAAGGGATTGATCAACGGCAAATGCTTTATCCTTTTCTTTAATAACTAATGCGTATCTCATCTGTATTTTCTCCCCGATCTTACCACCCATCCTACTTCGTATTTCCTTTAATGAATTCCATTCTTGAGATAGGCAATTTTCCAATCTTCAATATACCCCTTTCGGGACCACAGAGAAATTGAAAGGCAATTCAATGCAATTCTCGATCCGGCTCTTACAATACTGGGCCTTCCAGAATTAGTGGATCACACGACTGACTCGGGATAGGCTCGTGAATTTTTCACAGGTATTCAAATCCAGTAAGAGTCCTCTGAGCGATAGAAGTTTCAGGACCTCATTGGGACCTGGTAGCTTCAACATTGTGATTCCATCCCTCGGAGCATATGTGACGTCGGGTAGCCCTTCTCACTTCTCCAATTCAGTCTGGAGATGATTGGTGAAACGTTATTGTTCAACCGGCTCCAAGCGCAATCAGGCAAAGGTCGTGTGAACGCTTTCCTACGGTCTGTAGTATAGATTCCTAGAGGACAATCACAAATGTGGCGTTCCCGTGCACGGAAACCAACCGACAAGAGCGCTTGGGCCTTGCAAAGTAAGCTGCTCAAGCTGCAGAGTTTTTTCTCTATCAGGCTGTTGTCTGGCGCTCTCTCATCTGTCGCTCTCTCGCCTCATACTCTCCTCTCCGCGCTTACCATTAGTCTCCATTACCTTACCTTAGCACAGTCGATCAGAAAGGTGAATGTACCCTTAACCTGAGCGTCTTTGACGGTATCCTGTTACTTTTCTTGACACCGGCCATTTCACACCAACACATTCGCATTCGTGAGCAAGAGCCACACCAGTGTGATCCTGGAGCATGCCTTTAAAAAAGGTTTGATGGCTTACTCTGGGAGACAGTGACACTATGTAGGGGAAATTGATCACGGATTTCCCTATTGAATGCTATTGACGACTTATGCAGAAAACAAATGAGGGCAAGGTCTACCAGTGTTGCAATATGCGCAGCGTTGCATCGAATGGGTTATGGGTTGCGGCATGCGTCTAGGTCGTGAAATTCTTCATTCCACTGACCAGTTTTCATTCCTGCCGGATTCCACCTTTTATTCAATACGTGACCGGTATCTATTGACGTGAAAATGCGGTCTAATTTGGACCTCAATTCTGTAATTGGGTTTCTATTTTCTAAAGAACATAATTTGGTGATATCATCTGTTTTCTTTGGAACAGCTCATGCGGAAAAAAATGACGGAATTCATCCCTAATGGGAAATTGTAACTGGCTCTGTGTTTACCAATCTGATAGTGATACAACTTAAATCGGAGTTAGTGCAGCAAAATTAGTGTGCACGGCTGGGCATACAGTTGTCAAGGACCTAAATAGTTCGAGTAGAATAGGCGCTGCGTGACCAGGAGTCCTTTCAAAGCGATAGTGTGAGATAGGACCAGATTAGACCTGATGAGGGCGAAGAATTATCAGCAGCTGCTCTCTCTGCAGTCGTCGTGCAGGACTGGTTGTCATTCCCTATATTGGTGCAGCATTTGCCTGTTTGGAGAATAGAGAGCTTTGGAAAGTCCTTTGGAAACGAAAAACGTAAATAAATGGGGTCCACGGCATTCTATTTTCATCGGTTCAATGCTCTCTGCTACGTTCTCTTGGGAGTTTTTTTTTACAGAAATAATTGCCCCGAATAAACATCTCTAAAGTAATTAATGCTCACTAGATACGGAATTTTCACGCATAAGCATTGTCGGAATTGAAAACAAGCAGGGAGGGGGTTGGAGTAGAGGTTGCTAAAAATCAAATGATATCTTCATCACAGATATCTTAGTTTCGAATTTTTATATGGAAAACATTCTGCAATCATCTTATTGTGGTACTATTCTTGAAAATTTGAGTATTGGTGTGAAGTGGGCCCTAGAAAAGAAAGTGGATGGTTGACGAATTTATGAGACAAACAGTATCAAGATATAGGGGGCGCGGATCCAAAAAGCAAGTAGTCGACGAGGAACATTGGGACGCAGCGAAACACAGACTGGAGCGCGTGCGCCAGCGGTTGCTGTAGGGCGTGTCCACGGTTGCAGGTGGTGAGCCGATTGCCCTCATAAATCTCGTTCGGGATTGCAAAAGTGGCAATATCTAAGCAATTGCAGGACCAGCCGCCCCCATCGTGCGATTAATTAATTGAACTAACTCAGGTGGCAAAATTTACTCTCGAAGAGTTGAGTATGTGCTCATACTAAGGATAAAATAATAATAATTATTATTCGATAGAGTTCCAGCCTAAAAGCGTCGCTTCGGTGCGATTTTGAGAGGAGACTTGGTCAATCTAAATGTACGGAGTCTGGGCCTGGATAGTTAGGGAATACCTGACATCCGAAAATTCAGGTTCGGATTCCTTAGATATACATATTCTGTCGATTAGGAGTGGCGTTCTCCCTAGCGCTATCCGCCTACTGAAGGCTGAATACTGAATATTTGTAATTAATGCTTGCATAGACTGTTCAAATTCAGCCGATCAATTTGCAATATAACACCTTTTTCGTTTCCTCTTTCGTAAGAAAGGAGGCTCTCAACCTGTCGCACAAGGTCGATTTAGCTTCGTTTAATTATATGTGTTACTACAGACCAATTTTTATTGAGGATGTGTCAGCGCACCTACGCGTGCATTGAATAAATAATAAATAAATAAATAAATAAATAAATGTCTTAAATTTGTTTGTAATTTAGCCGGTCCTATCAAATACAAAGTTTGGAACAAGTGGTTTCAATATTTCAAATTTGTGCAATCCATTGCGACTACGTACACCTTTTACATGCGCCCTAGATTCCTAGACAGGACCCAAATGCGTGGCGGATCGCGGAAATTTGATAGGGGCACCAATGCCCAAGTAAAATTATTTGCTTGCCCTAGAGAAAGAATTTTTGTCGTCCCTTGCAACTTCAGTTGATGATGTTTTCTCGTTTTTGCCTTCGGAATTCCACCCTCCTATCATTCTATTTGTGTGTTTTGTGCATTCAGTCAGTGAGTTTCACGGTTCATTGCACCGGGGTATCGTCACACTGATTTGACGCTATGACAGAACGATGACGGTATCAGTGACTGGAACGAACGCTTGCGAAAGAAACACTCCCATTGGTACATAGGCTAGCCAGGAAGCAATCGTTGTATGAGAGCATTCCTCACCTGTAGAGGTGTTTCGGAGAGCGCATAGGGATCCTTTCTAGATTGAGAACAGAAGGAGAAAAATAAAATAAAAATAACGAGAAATGACTCCTCTAGGAAATGGAAAAGTAGTTTGGTGTGGGACTTGCTCTGATGCGGAGCCATAATTTCCTTAAGATAATGACCACGATAGCTGGGAGGTGGTGCATTTTATGAGGTGTCTAGATTCACTTTGGGGGAAGCGGCGCCTAACAGGGATTCGTCTTCAGGGTGTGCCAAGCTTTTTCAAAACGGTCTTTTGCATGATATAGAGGCACATGCGGGAACCACAGAACCATGGTTAATTTTTCCTGAACGGCCCTCTGAATACCAGAAAAGGGGGTCCCTAGTCACACCTTTTTCACCAGTTTTTCAATCAAAGTCTATTTGTAAGGGTTACTGACGTTCCTAATCATGAATTTGGTACTAATTATTCATGCTAACTCCATTTTGCGCGAATTTGGAAACGTCAACACGAAATGCAAAAATTTGTCACCACGAGGAATCGAACTAGGGACCCCTTTTCTGGTATTCAGAGAGCCGTTCAGGAAAAATGAACCATGCTTCTGTGGTCCCCATATGTGCCCCAATGTCATGCAAGAAACCATTTTGAAAAAGCTTGGCACACCCTGAACGACCTCCTTTGTAAGAGACGGTCCCTAGCGCTTGAACTGACCTTCAAAATGAAAAACGAATGATGCTGCTAAGAAATGATATAAGCGAGCCGTTTTTGAGGCGGTCCGGTTCTTGGGTTGGAGCCTTATATGCTGCCACAACCCCAAAATTCCGAAACGTCACGATCGAGTAGCTTTTCTGTGCCTGACTGAGGAAATCCAGGCATAGTTCTCTGTTGCGAGAAGAAGGGGTGTATATATTAATAATTAATAAATAATTATACAGGGCGGAAGTGGTGTAGTGACAAGTGGCGCTTACCACGCGAGCGGTCCGGGATCAAATCCTGGGTCGTGAGTCGCCCGGGCCAACCAAGCCTTCCATCCCTCCGGGGTCGGTTAATTGGTACCAGACTTGTCTGGGAGGATAAAAACACTGACTTGAACATCGGCTGGCCCCCGCAAGTCATTGTATAGGCCACATCGCATTCAAATGCCACTGCGAATGTACAAATGGAAGTAGAATGCGTGCCGCATCCCAAAAAGGGATTGAT